ACGTGGAGAGACACGAGTCTTCACTGGTTCACCATGTCACACATATGTACATTTTTCATTCCATATATGCTATGACGGATCTTGAGCACCATCACTCAGTTTCACCTTTCTTTAGATCTTCTTGGCGTAGACCTCGTGGATGTAGAGGCGCAACGAGCGATCTCCACTTCAACAACCCTATCGAAATATCGATTGCAGAACAGAATCGAACTAGAACAAGAACAGCATGATCCATTTCTAGTCTCTCAATTTTGAAACCAATGCCAAGATTCTGGAATGCCCCAGGCACTATTAGGTTTTTATTGACAAAATAAAAAAAGGAAGAGACATAACTAACAGCCATGGTGATAGAGCTTGTTAGAGAAGCACTCTATAAATCCAATAATTTAATCACTTATAGTTACTAACTAACCTTTATTGAGCCAGAATTTACCAATCCTTCCATTATGTAAATTAGTTATTTTATATGAAACAACTAATTATCCACCTGTATTGCATGTGGATCGATCTTTTGTCCATAAATTCTTTATAAAAGGAAGAACATAAATATGGATGCCTAATATCTACAATCTCAAATTTAAAGGTAAAAATATACCTTGCTCAAGAGTATGTTATATTCTAAGTAGTAATCAAATTTGTGACCATCTTCTCCCACTATTGTCTTGAAACATATATGAATTTTCTTGTCTAATTAAAGTATGATTCCTAGAAAAACAAAATGCCTTAGGACCTAGAATTATTCAAAAAGAAAAGTCCAGACAAAAAAAAATGCCTTAGACTTAGAATTATTCAAAAAGAAAAGTCCAGACAAAAAAAAATGCCTTAGGACTTAGAATTATTCAAAAAGAAAAGTCCAGACAAAAAAAAATGCCTTAGGACTTAGAATTATTCAAAAAGAAAAGTCCAGACAAAAAGAAAACTGCCTTAGGACTTGGAATTAATCAAAAAGAAAAGTCCACTGTAGGAAGAAGTCGGAAGGAACGATTGGAAGGAGCTCATGACTCTCGCAATGAGCCAAGAGCCGGGAAGCCTGACGACTGAGACAGAACGAGCCAAAGAGATACTCTGCTCCATGCTCCTGGGAAACAAGTCAGTGATTAACCACAAGGAACTCAAGCTGACAACACACCTGGGACAAGGAGCTTACGGAACCGTGTACGAAGCAATGTGGCTCGGTCACAAGTTCGCGGTGAAAGTCTTCCCTCAAGGTGACACCAGCTTTGCCAAAGAGCTCGCGGTTCTCGGAGCTCACAAGCATCCCAACGTGTTGCACATTGCCGGCCATTCTTTCGATGGAGAGAAGCAGCAGTACTCGCTGGTGATGGAGAAGATGGACATGGACCTAGCAAACTACCTCCTCAAGAAGAACTCCCTCTCGTTGCTGTCGATCGTGGCAGTGATGCTCCAAGTCGGAATCAAATTTGTGACCATCTTCTCCCGCTACTGTCATCAAGGGCCTAAAACATACACCAATTTTCTTGTCTGATTAAAGTATGATTCCCAGAAAAAAAATAAAATGCCTTAGGACATTAGAATTATTCAAAAAGAAAAGTCCACGGTAGACTTTTCCCACGCTATACCTTTACAAGAATGGTGCGGCGCTGGTAACGGACATGGCAGCAGCGACTTTGCTCGAGGCGATTCGAATCGCGGACAAGGTTGGCACAATATCCACTTCCAGCAAGGTCTGTAGAAACCAACATAGGATCCTCATCGCGGCAGTTGGCTATGTCCGAGACTACCTCAAGCAAATCCAGGATCTCAACTTCGCGAGCAACGGGCCAGCCTTCGTGTGGGACGAAACCGTGGCTGTCCTTAACAGAGGCCTCCATCTCCTCAAGTCGTGCCAAGAAGGCAATTGGATCACGCGGAGCCTGCTGTTCAAGGAAAGCTGCGATGAGTTCCAGAGCATTTATCCCGAGATCCACAACTGCGTCGAGCTCGTCAGCGTCTATCTCTTTCAGCTGGCACCGTCCACCTCGCACAGATCCAGGATTGCCGAGGCTTACAACTCGTGCCTCATGTGGCAGAACTCGAGCAGCATGCTGGAAGAAGCCGGAAGGAACGATCGGAAGGAGCTCATGGCTCTCGCAATGAGCCAAGAGCCGGGAAGCCTGACGACCGAGACAGAACGAGCCAAAGAGATACTCTGCTCCGTGCTCCTGGGAAACAAGTCAGTGATTAACCACAAGGAACTCAAGCTGACAACACACCTGGGACAAGGAGCTTACGGAACCGTGTACGAAGCAATCTGGCTCGGTCACAAGTTTGCAGTGAAAGTCTTCCCTCAAGGTGACACCAGCTTCGCCAAAGAGCTCGCGGTTCTTGAAGCGGACAAGCATCCCAACGTGTTGCACATCGCCAGCCATTCTTTCGATGCAGAGAAGCAGCGGTACTCGCTGGTGATGGAGAAGATGGACATGGACCTGGCAAACTACCTCCTCAAGAAGAAGAAGTCTCTCCCGTTGCTGTCGATCGTGGCAGTGATGCTCCAAGTTGCTACTGGCATGGCGTGGCTTCACTCGAAGAATATAATCCACCGGGACCTCAAGCCGCAGAACATCTTGGTTGGCGAAGAAGACAACGATCTCGTGAGTATCAGGATTGCCGACTTTGGAGTCTCGAGGCCCGATTTCATCTCCTCCCTCATCAGCGAAGCCACCGCCAAGCAAGGCACCAGAAACTTCATGGCACCGGAAGTGTGGAGCGGCGAGCGCTACACGAAAAAGGCCGACGTTTACAGCTACGGGATGATGATTTACCAGCTTGTCACTGGAAACGTTCCGTTCGAGGACGGGATGGACATGGAGCAAGTCCTTCGAGGCGAGCGTCCTGAGGTACCAGCAACCTGTCCAGAGTTCCTGTCGCAGCTCATGCGGGAATGCTGGAGCCACGATGCAAAAGAGAGGCCTTCCTTCTCGGATATCTGTGAGCGGCTGAAGCAGCTCAAGACCAGGATCATCACTGGCACCGACTCCATCGACGAGTTACGAGCCAAGTTGGTTGAAGCAGCCAGGTCATCTTCCTCTTCTTCGTACTCGTCGTCTTCCTCGTCCTCGTCGCACAGCATGAACCTGGATTCTCCTGTCCAAGCACCTGAGGGGCTTTGGACCCAAAATCCTCCATCTCCCGTTGTCCAGGTAAACTCTTTTGCTTTTAGTAACTCCACCTTTAGTTTCAGCCGGCACCACACCGTCCTCAGCACGTCGCACCAGCAGCAAAGCCGGATAACAGGGCCGAGCTCTTCGAACTGGTGAAGAACGGCCTCGTCAAAAACGCCTTTGAGAAAGCTCTGTCCCTGAACGATCCTTCCACGTTCTGGTGGCTTTGCACCAAGGTAATCCATTCACGTCCTCCAGCTGCTCATCAAAGCTTTGTCAGCTCAGGTGGAGGAAAGCGTCCTGCTCACCTTCAGTGAATCAATGCTCATGGAAGTGGCCGAGCAAATCAACACCAACTTCAAGGAAGACACTGCTCGCAGGTTGCTCTGGATGGACGAGATCCTGGCCATCTTGATGTTGGTCGACACATCACCTCGGATGCGGAGGATATTGGAGAAGCTTTCACAGAACCTCCACGGCATGATGGCTATAACACCTTCAAAGAACGAGCTGGGGATGAAGCTGGCGAGAGTGCTGGAAGATACCAACTTGGGTCTTCATGTACGTATGAAACTCTTCGTGTTATTCGTTTGATTCAAATCGTTTGTCGTCGCAGGATATCCGAGTTGAGAACAGCAAAGCTGAGAAGAAAGGGAAAAGAAAACAGGGACCTATGATGTGAAATAAAACAGCTATATATTTCCAGCGGAACACCGGTAGTTTCTGAGTATTGAGATCTAATTTTCTGCCTGCCAAAAGTATCAACCATGCTTCACGAAAGAACCATAAAGAACTTACCAATTCCCATTCGTAACTTCGTCTCATCCTGCCGGGATAAACGTGAAGGAAACTTACGAGATAAATATCAAAGCACAAAGGTCTCACCATTCTTTAGTTCTTAAACTCGAGTAGACGGTGAAGATCCCAACCTTTTCGATCTGGCAGCAGAGCCTTGGCAGCTTCCGCCGCAGCGCAGACACCAGTAGTTCTCGTAGGATCATCGCTCTCCGCTCAAAGAACGATTTTGCCGCTTTCAACTTCTCGGGATCCCCATACTTGTATGGCTTGTAGACGATCCCGGCAGCTAGCCGTTGCTTCTTGAGCTTGGCTGGACGAACGTACGCATCGCCCAGTCTCTTCAAGCGCTTCTGGATCACTCTCCTCCGGTACACTTGCGGCTCGGGGATCTTGGGATCGGCGAGCGGCAGGCGATCCGGAGGAGGCACAGCAACCCACCTGAAAATCCGATCGTTCGCGTCACCGCCTCCCGCTTTGTTGCGCTTGGCCGGATTCTTGGAGCCGGCGCCCTCGCCGTGCAAGCACTGCGTGTGGACGAGGAATTTGCTCCGGAGCCACACGAGTAAGCGCCTGCTCTTGATCCCTTCCTTCGCGTGAGATTGCGCGATCCAATCGGGCCATAGGTGCGAACATTCTGCGTCGGCAGATCCTTGGGGCTCTTCTTGGCGTAGACCTCGTGGATGTAGAGGCGCAACGAGCGAGCTCCACTTAAAGAACCCTATCGAAATATCGATTGCAGAACAGAATCGAACTAGAACAAGAACAGCATGATCCATTTCTAGTCTCTCGTAAGTCCACGATTGACGAGGTCGAGCGCGCAACCTGTGCTCGCTGCGCCAAGAAGAATCCGCCAAACTTTCTGGACAGGCGCTCAAGACGTTACGTGCAAACCACTGGTGGGCATGCAGGATAGTGTCGTCAAACGCTATGCTACCGGGATGCGAGAGTGAACTAGCAGGGCGGAAACTAGGGTATCCTGGCCGTCCAATCCTAAACAACCTGTTTGGAGTACTGAAACAAGAAAAGCCATACACGGATTTTCTTATGCCTGATTAAAGTATCCCAGACAAGACTTAGAACTTAGAATATTCAAAAAGAAAAGTCCACGGTAGACACTCTGCAAAGAAATGGAGCGGCGCTAGTGGTGATCACCAACGAGCATGGCAGCAGCGACTTTGCTCGAGGCGATTCGAATCGCGGACAAGGTTGGCACAAGATCCACGAACACAAACTCGAGCAAGGTCTGTAGAAACCCATGTAGGATCCTCATCGCGGCGGTCGGCTATGTCCGAGACTACCTCAAGCAAATCCAAGATCTCAACTTCACGAGCAACGGGCCAGCCTTCGTGTGGGACGAAACCGTGGCTGTCCTTCACAGAGGCCTCCATCTCCTCAAGTCATGCCAAGATGGCGATTGGATCGCCCGGAGCCTGCTGTTCGAGGAAAGCTGCGATGAGTTCCAGAGCATTTACCACGAGATCTACAACTGCGTCGAGCTCGTCAGCGTCTATCTCTTTCAGCTGGCACCGTCCACCTCGCACAGATCCAGGATTGCCGAGGCTTACAACTCGTGCCTCATGAGGCAGAACTCGAGCAGCATGCTGGAAGAAGCCGGAAGGAACGATCGGAAGGAGCTCATGGCTCTCGCAATGAACCAAGAGCCGGGAAGCCTGACGACCGAGACAGAACGAGCCAAAGAGATACTCTGCTCCATGCTCCTGGGAAACAAGTCAGTGATCAACCACAAGGAATTGAAGCTGAGAACACACCTGGGACAAGGAGCTTACGGAACCGTGTACGAAGCAATCTGGCTCGGTCACAAGTTCGCGGTGAAAGTCTTCGCTCAAGGTGACACCAGCTTCGCCAAAGAGCTCGCGGTTCTCGGAGCTCACAAGCATCCCAACGTGTTGCACATTGCTGGCCATTCTTTCGATGGAGAGAAGCAGCGGTACTCGCTGGTGATGGAGAAGATGGACATGGACCTGGCAAACTACCTCCTCAAGAAGAACTCCCTCTCGTTGCTGTCGATCGTGGCAGTGATGGCTACTGGCATGGCTTGGCTTCACTCGAAGAACGTAATCCACCGGGACCTCAAGCCGCAGAACATCTTGGTTGGCGAAGAAGACAACGATCTCGTGAGTATCAGGATTGCCGACTTTGGAGTCTCGAGGCCCGATTTCATCTCCTCCCTCATCAGCGAAGCCACCCCCAAGCAAGGCACCAGAAACTTCATGGCACCAGAAGTGTGGACCAGCGAGCGCTACACGAAGAAGGCCGACGTTTACAGCTACGGGATGCTGAGCTACCAGCTTGTCACTGGAAACATTCCGTTCAAGGTCGGGATGGACATGGAGCAAGTCCTTCGAGGCGAGCGTCCTGAGATACCAGCCACCTGTCCAGAGTTCCTGTCGCAGCTCATGCGGGAATGCTGGAACCACGATGCAAAAGAGAGGCCTTCCTTCTCCGATATCTGCAAGCGGCTGAAGCAGCTCAAGTCCAGGATCATCACTGGCACCGACTCCATCGACGAGTTACGAGCCAAGTTGGTTGAAGCAGCCAGGTCATCTTCCTCTTCTTCGTACTCGTCGTCTTCCTCGTCCTCGTCGCACAGCAGGACTCGAGTGAACCTGGATTCTCTTGTCCAAGCGACTGAGAAGCTTTGGACCCAAAATCGCCCGCCTTCTCGTGTCCAGGTAAACTCTTTTGCTTTTAGTAACTTCCGGACCCTCACCACCTTTGGTTTCAGCCGGTACCACACCGTCCTCACCAAGTCGCACCATTACCAAAACCAGATAAAAGGACCGAGCTCTTCGAACTGGTAAAGAACGGCCTCATCATAAACGCCTTCGAGAAAGCTCTGTCCCTGAACGATCCTTCCACAGTCTGGTGGCTTTGCACCAAGGTAATCTGTTTACGCTCTCTGGCCGCTGATCACGCCCGTCCTTTGTCAACTCAGGTAGAGCATACCGTGCTGCTTGTCTTCAGTGAATCGATGCTCATGGCACTGGCCGAGAAAATCAACACCAACTTCACGGAAGACACTGCTCGCAGGCTGGTCTGGATCGACGAGATTGGCGACTTGCTGTTAAAAGACCGCAATGGATGGGCATCACCTCGGAAGATGAGGATCCTGGAGCAGCTTTCACAGAACCTCCACGGTATGATGGCCATAACACCACCAAAGAGTGAGCTGCGCATGACCTTGACGAACATGCTGGAAGGCACCAACATGTGGCTGCAGGTTCGTACATATGAAGCTCTTCGTTTCTTTCGTTTCCATCTCCTTGATTCACATCGTTTTGTTGCAGCGTGTCCGGGTTGCAGTGGAAAACAAAGTTCGATACATGAGCATCGTTGGCGGATATTTTCCAGCGGAACACCGGTAGTTTCTGGATGTTGATGTCCTGGCATAAAACATGCTTCACCTTACCCTGGCCAGCAAAACTTACGAGGAAAAGAATGAGCTCAACAGCCGTGACCTTTGGCAAGCTGAAGATCTTGCTCCCCAACTGAAATCGCTTGCTCGCTCGCCTAAACCCTAATTTCGCTCAGTTAATGATCGATTCCAGCCTGGATTTGAATTGAAAGGGTTGCGGCACTGCTTGCTGCCGCTGGAGACGATCTGATGTCCCTGTTGCTACAAGGGAAGGCTTCCTTGGGCTGGAGATTTGCTGATGCTGCCAAGAGGCCTCTCTTCTTGTTGGGCACTAGGCGTGGAATTGCTGTGCGAAAGGGCCTTGAGGCTGATGGAGAGATCACATTCGAGTGGGGCAGATGGAGCTGGTTCCTGATGGGTCCTGATACAAGCTGGGGTGTGTGCAAGCTTGGATACCATGCTGCTGCTGCTGTTCAACACCACAAGATGCTGATTTCATGAGCTCGGCTTTTCTGGCTGAGTGGGGAGTGAGATAGGGTTCCCAGTGGTAGTTTTTTTTTTTTTTAGCCTTTGCATACTGATCTCGGAGCAATAGAGTTTTTTTCTTTTCTTCCTTAGTTTTCAACATGGACAACACAAGTAGCCTGTGGATTAATGAGGTACAATAGAAGAGGATCTAGCCCAGCTTGATTAGGAATTTCCACTGTTGGAGCTTACATGATCTCTTTTTGTTGAAGACATGAAATGCTGAATTAAGCCATACTGACAGTATGTATAGAATCTGGCCACCTGCAACATATGTCAATAAGCCACTTTCTACTGGTGATGATTACTTACATAACAAAGCTAAATCAATGGTGCTTGACATACACCCCAGGATCTTCATCTTGCTCCATGATCTCAAGTACAACATTTGGAAGCTTGCATGTGAGGAAACCCTGGATAACCACAGCGAAATCTTCCAAGAACTTGATAAGTCTTCAAGAGTATCAACGATTGCCTTACAAGTCTCATTCCTAGTCACAGTACTTTCGCTGATTCTGTAGAGCTCTAAGAGTGTGATATACTTCTGCTCCGTTTCATAGCTTGTACAAAGTACAAGCAACCCAGATTTGCACAAAAACTGCTCTACGATAGCTGGTATCTTGCTTTCGAATGTGATGGTGTAGGAGATGCACAATACTATTAAATGTTGTCTTTCATGGGCTTGATATCTAGCCTGAATAAAGAACTTGCTCTAGCTCGTCAAACATTTCTTGCATGATCCTCATTTGTAGTTTCTCTGGGATCAAAGCTTGCTTCCCAGCCTCATCAAGGTTGCACATCAGTTACTCTTGTTATATTTTTCTACTCTACTGTTGAGAAGCTTCACTAAGATGCACTCCCACTTCTTGGCTATCGACACCATCTTTTCTCGTTGATCTATGTTCATTAACTCATCTTTAGTCTCATGGAGCTTCACATTGATGAGGAGCATAATTTCTACAAGAGACCAATTTGGCATGTGATCTCTTGGTAGTAAAGTTCTTGCTTTTGTTAGTGACGGCCTTAGCAGTAGCAACATGAAGAGATGGCCCAGACCCGTCAGCAGTAAAAGCAACCTCAGTAGCAACAAGAAAATTTCTTCCATTGAAAGCTTTTCTATTACTTTGAAAGTTCTAAAAATGCTTGTTTACCTCTAAAGTTCTTTTTATGTATGTTGCTCCTCATAAAAGATCCTTGGCAAGCACAAGAACTGATAGTGCTAGAACTTCCAAGGAATGGAGGATGTGTTCTTCCATAACAAAGCAAAAATTCACACTTTAAGTGGAAAAATTGATAAATCACTTTTTTACATAGAATTCTTGCTCGTATAGTTGTTCCCAACTTCTGGCAACAAATTGACGCGCTCCCAATTTCCCACTACAAAGCAATTCAATCAATCCACACTAAGAACCAAAATTTGTACTAAGAGCTAACATATCTTAAATCAATTAATCTGATCTGACCAGCAATT